TTCAGCATGGGGGTGAGTAGAAAATGAAGGCTAATCATGTTTTGGGTGTACTATTCCTTTAAGATAAAATGAGTGATACCTTACTGTCTGTAATTGTGAGCCGAGGTGCTTCTTTACACGTTCAACTTTAGTTTTGTGCCAATTAAACTTTGAATGTGCAGGTAAACTTAAAGGACCAGTAATGCTGATTTAACTCAAAGCTGCAAATAAGGTCTAAGGGTGTAAAAATAGTGTCTGACCCCAAGTTGCCACTCTTTACTTCTGTTCAATTTTGAAGTTTTGTATATTTTGCAAAAGAAAACTAATCTTGTTGAATGTATTGTGCAGCTCTGCAAGTAATGCTGCAAATAAAACGTGCAATGTTAATATGATGCATATGCTGTTGATATCATTCTTTCCTTCCATCATGTTTTTTTTCCATCGATCTTTATCACCTGTTGGAATCGAGGGGAGGGAGTTTTTACAACTTTGTATTTTCAACACAGTGATTTAGCTCCTCAGCCTTCAGGATGGTTGTAAACGTTCCTTTAAATGTCAAATGGATCCTTTTTAAATGTTTTTTTTTTCTTTGTAAAAGTAAAAGTATTCGAGCTTTTTTAACAGAGATGTGGTTTAGATATCGCTCCATCTCTAAGTATTAATTCACAAGATGAACACAGAGATGTTTCCTACTCAACTACTGTGGGGTTCTCTAGGAATGACAGTTTAACTTTGCTTACCTGTCACCTTTCACACTTAGGTAGTTTTGATTTCTGAGGCTCAGAGGCGTCATGTCATACTTCCATATACATCCAGGAGGCAGCATAGAGCATCCAAAATGTACATTTTCTATATATATATATATATATATATATATATATATTAATAAAGAAAATGTACATATATAATATATATATATATTTTTAATGGTGAGCTTATGTTGGTGTAAATTGAGCAAAATCACTACAATATAGTAACATTATCTCAGGGCATTTTAGAGAGTAACTTCTAAAGTACTAAATTAAATTTACTATACTGTTATGTTTACAAGCTCTTTTTAATTATTACTATTTATTAATATTATTTAATTATGTAAAGGAAAAAAAAAATCTCACACTCACACACACACACACACACATATATATATATATATATATATATATATATATATATATATATATATGTATGTATGTATATGTACTAATGACACAAAAAATAGATCCAAAACAAATGATTGATCTTTTTATGTGTCCAAATGTTTAGATGGAATTTTTCACAACAGCATTTCAAAAAAGCTGCCTAAAACAAGAAGAAAAAATCTCCCTAAAACCTTATTTGTTATTCTATAATGAACATTATTTGTTGCCACTGTTATAAAGAGCCATTGAGGAAGAGCCAAAGAGCTTCTGGCAGCTCTGGAGCTGCAGGTTGAAAATATGTGAAATGATCTTCTGATTGGTTGCATTTGCCCGTGGTCCCACTCTAGCATGAAGTCAAACAAATTGACAATGAAAACGCACCAAAGGCCTACTTTGCGATGAAGCAAAGATGTTGATTTTTATCCTTTTCTATAATAAAATAAGGAGGTCCTTTTCTCTTTACTTATTTTCCAAATTTATAAAAGGATATCCAATTTCCAACTTTCTAAAAGCCATAATCAAACATCTGTTTTTTATTCTATTTTCTTCTTTTACGTTGCATTGATGATCTTCCTTGCATTGCCTCTAGGCAGGTGGAAACTAGCTATAATCTGGTGCAATTCATCTTTGATATTTAAAATAAATGCATTTCTGTACATTTGCATAAATAGATTGTTATTAATGAAAAAATTAAAAGTCAAAGATGCTGAAATGAAACATGTTAACATGGATGGATTGACCTTTGTGTCCAGAGCAGAGGCGTAACTTTGTGAAGGACTGGTGTGGACACGTCCCCACCAATGATTTCCATTTATTTCCCTCATTTACTTTAGCCAAAGGTAATAGAGTTGGGTGCAGCGATCTGTCCTCACACTGTTTTTTTTTGTTTTTTAGAGTGTTTTTTTTCCCTTTCTCCCACTGCTCCTGTGTCCCACATCTCGGTGTAACATCATCCAATCTGTCGCATTGAGGCATCTGATTTGCCGTTGCATTTCACTGTGTACTGAGTAACTACTTGTTTGGAGGAGAGACACACAGCAGCACTCAGTGAATATTAACCAGCAGCTGCTACAGTATATGTTTAAGTAAAAGTTAGGAGACGGAAGGGTTAACAAAATTACAGATGCCTCCAAAAAAATCAGTTTGTTAGACATACGGACCTTTTTCAGCAAAAAGTTTATACAAGTTAGTATTATAATGCAAGAAGCTTGAGAAAACATAGTTTAAGTGTTGTTCTTCTTTACTTCAGAGGACCATGACTCACAGTTACAGCTTCAAATTAACATGTTTTTTTTTATAGTACAGTCAGAATCAGACTGCAGAGCTTCTACATATCTAGAAAGGTTGTTTCTGGCATCATTATATTAGTAAAGAGATCTATAAATCTTTTTAAACAGAGCAGGGAGAGAAGTAGGGAGAGCTGCAGATTGCAACAAAAAATATCTCAAGTTTAACAGAAATTTATAAGAAAAAAATATGCTATGCTACATTTAAAATGCAGCATATCCATATTCTTCTGGATCAATTGATGGAATTGAAATTGTACTTTAAGGGATAATATATCGATTTTAGCATTGGAATCTGCTGTTATTCGCTATTTTTTATACTTTGTTTTTAGGCCATATATATATATATATATATATATATATATATATATATATATATATATATATAATGCACTAAAAGTCATCTCTCTAACTACCTATTAATATAAATATCAGTTACTGTGGTTCTCTTGTGTTTCTTAATAATAGGAAAGCATTCAATAAATATACTTTGTTTGAGCTCATTTCTGGAAAATACAAAAACGTTTGAAAGCGTTTGGGTCGAGTAGATCCATCAGCCACCACCCTTAGAGTGTCCCCACCAACTTTCATCACAAAGTTACATCCTTGGTCCAGAGGCTCTTAAATCTTATCTGAATCTTTTTATTTTCTTGCCATGTGACCCTACAGGAGTGCATGGTAGATGAGGACTGTGGGGATCTGAAATACTGCCTATATGAGATTGAAAACTCCAAGTGTCTTCCCTGCATACCAACGGATATGGTGAGAGTTCATCATTTTGCTCAGGTTACATGTGTTATTGTGCAATCATAAAGCAACAGCAATACAAAGCAGCTCCATTACAGTGATTTATTTTTTTTTTGAACCTCACACTTTATTACCAAGCACAATAGCAAGAGAAGTTTGTATTGAACATTTTAAATCTCCGCCGTATCTCTGAACGATCTGCTGCGGTCCTTAGTTTTCATGAAAAGCTGGATTTATAGCCGGCATCACAAACAGTAGCGTGTTAAACGCCACCTCCCTGCTTTTTGCTGCCAAAACGTGGGAACGCCCTGCCCATTGGCCAAGCATTCACACCATGCTGTACTTTTGAGAGTATGTTTTGTGAAAGAGATTTTGCTCTGCTATTGAAAGCATTAAGAAAGCCTTAAAACCAGGCAGACCTTCTTTATAACTGTTGGTTGTTTTCAAAATTTTGCCGACTCTCATAGAGAAGACATTTAGAGGTACATGTCTGTTTAAAAGATGCATTGAGCCCAAAAAATATCTTAAATTTTTCATTTTAACTATACAGAATTGGATATTTTCTATTGCTTTCCATAAAATCACTGCCTGCTTCACGTAATCTGACTGTAGGTCAAAAGAAAAATTCTTAAAGTAATAAGTGCTACTCATTGTGTTTCCGTACAGCCGTGTACAAAGGATGAGGAGTGCTGCTCAGATCAGATGTGTGTTTGGGGTCAGTGTACAGCGAACGCTATCCAAGGAACAGCCGGGACGATCTGTCAGGGTCAGAGCGACTGCAGCACGGATCTCTGCTGTGCCTTTCAGCGAGGTGATGATGTAATAAACATGCATGTCTGATTTTACCTCAAATACAATGATAGGTGTGAACTATGAATACAACGAGGATTTTCTGCTTAAATCTGCATTTTTACAGTGTTATTGCAATAAATTTCTCAAGTTAGATGTGCACCACCTTGTTAATTTTGCTCCATTATTGTTGCAAGCAAAGAACACATGTTGAAAATTTAAGTTTGATAAAATAAAATTAGGAAATAGAACATTGTAAAATAGTTAATTTTTAAAAAAGAAATTGCATTTTTCTTTTTCTTTCTTTTATTTTTTTACTTTTGATTGATTGATTTTGATTTTTGTATTTATTCAAATTTGTTTTCAGATAGTTTTATGAAATGCATTCTTTTCAAATTGTGTTTTACAGAAATTTGCCTAATTTGATTTGTAATACTCAATTTATTTTAAAAAATGCTATTCATTAAACTTAATCTGTAAAAACAATATAGAAAAAAATAATTTCAAAAAATAAATGTGCAAAAATATGAGGAAAAAGGGCAAAGTTACGCTTAAAAAATTTATGATTAAAATTTTTCTAAAAGTTTTATTTCTACTTTGCATTTATTTATTTTTTTTCACATATTTATTTGCAAAATGTGTTGTTTGCAATAATAGTGGTCAAAGTTCACTCCATACAGTGTGACACAGGCAGGCGAGTTTGACTTTTCTTCTTCCTCCCATCAGAGTTTTTGTTTCCAGTATGCAGCCCCAAACCTGCAAAAGGAGAGTCATGCCTGAACCACCCCAACCTTCTGATGGACATGCTGGAATGGGACCAGGAGGGCCCCAGAGATTACTGCCCATGTGTAGGGAACCTGCAGTGTCAGCCCCACAGGTGAGAACAAACATCAAGCTGCAGGTTTATAAAATAAAATCATCGTTAAGCAAAAATCTTTTTCCTTTCTCTTTTTTGTTTTCTCCCTGCAGTCGTGGATCTGTGTGTGGAGAGAAGGACTGACCGTACTGTTGTTTCAAACGAGCCAATCAGCTGTTTAGTTTGATGGTGTCCCATATGAACATCACCTGCACCCTTAATACTATTTATAATTAACTGCAAAACTACATTTTAAAACACTAAAGGGAATAAATGATTACAAATTTGTTTCACCACTGTTCTCTTATTTGATTGTTTTTATTAATTTATTTTATTATTTCGCCGGATTCCTTAAAGATGGAGAATTCGGTCCTTGATGTTTCAAATTTCCATCATAAATGTTCCATTAGATCTAATATTTTTCTTGGCTTTATGACCAAATAAATCACCATTCTGAATAATGACCTTGATGCTTGTTAAGTTAATAAACTTTTTCTCTTCTTTGACCTGATTCTGTGCTGAATCGAATAATCTTGTCCAGTTCAAGTGTGGCAGCAGCAAGAGATGCAGATTTCTCTCTAAGCAGGGCCAGCTCCAGCCTCAATGGGGCCCTAAACAAAATTGAAATCTGGGCCCCGTTATGTCTGCCAATAATATCAACTGTTTCAAATCAACAGTCCAATGATCAGATCTTTTTTATATCTTTTATGAGGTCTTCGTAGGTCTGGCTGTACGCAGTTTACTCACTGTAAAAGTGTTTGTGGTTAAACGTTTTGTTGGCAACCCCAGCAGGAATGTGGAAAATAACTTGCAGAGTAAGAGCACCAAAAAACTAGGACAATTGCTTTGAATTGTTAAATATGGAAGTTAGATCCCTCTGAAGGCGGCTGCACCTCGGAACTTCCCTTCCGGTTCTTTTTCTGCAAGCAAGTTATTTACTACTCTTAACTCAAACTGGGTAAAACCATATAAAAAGGACTTTAAAACAGGAGTAAAAAGTAACAAAGTTTATTCCAGATCCGGTCGTTACAGGACAGAGAAATCGCTTGGAGTTGGCACAGCTGTGGGCTCAAAAAACGTCAGCGAGCATCCGGCAAAGATTGAGCCCCAAACAAGGTCATCTCCTCCTTCTTATACCTCATGAGTCCATGTGTCGCATCAGATGGATGCTGTCTGTATCAGAAACTGACACGCCATCCATGCTCTAACCTTTATGCATCTTACCTCTATGCCCAAGGATTACAGATCGCTCTCCTCTATCAGTCCGGTTTCAAGATGTGTCCTTGTCCTGCGTTTCTTTAAAAGACAAGAAGGCTGTCCTATTTAGATGACCTCCGTACACTCAGTGTGATCCTCCATGTGAAGGAAGGCCTTCTACTCTGTGTAATCTGGCTAACAGAGTAATAATGCACATGATGTATAAAGAATAAACCTAACAACTAAAAATAAAATAAAGCCGGGCATACACTGTGCAACTTTTTTTCAATCACTGCACGCAGCTGCAGCTCACTGTGTGTTCTCGCACTGTGCGGCAAGACGCTCTGATGCGATATACCTGCTCACACTATACGTCTAAAAACCACGCGGGACTCAGCTCCACAGTGAGATGGAGCTACTTGGACTCTATCAGGAAGCAAAATGTCTAGAAGAAGAATATGAAGTCTGCTAGAGTGAAACGCGCTGATTTGGCAATTTGTGCATTTTTGTGCTGAAAGCCCTAAAAAGAAAAAGCAACAACGTATTTGGACAAAGACATGGCTGAGCAAACGTGGCTACTATGGTCTGTCAGTTTTACAGAAAGAACTCCATTTAACTCGCACCCCCACCATGCTTCTGTTTTCATCTGGGAGAAAGAAGAAGATTCCTTGTTTGCCCACTGAGCGATTTGCCAACGACGGTCGACTGACCTCACGATTCCTGATCGGGAGGTGGTCGTGAGAGGTTGATCGTTATCCCCTGTACACTACAGGATGCACAATTAGGCTGAAAGTCAGCCCGATCGAAAAATTCTCGCATGACTGGAAAGTCGGCCCGAAAAGGGCAAAAAAATCATACGGTGTAAGCCTGGCTTAAATTGTACTAAAATGGGGGTAAATTTAATTAAGAATAAAATACAAAGCTTATCTTTGTTCACCTGAAATAAACTTATCTCAGTTTATGTGGGTCCTTCCTCATCTGCATGTCATGTGCTCTCTCTCTCTCTCTCTATATATATATATATGTATGCTTTGTGCCAGCCCCATCTCAAAGTTTGCTTTGAAACCTTCCATCCAGCAAAGGGCATTAAAGGAATAGTACACCCAAAACATGATTAGCCTTCATTTTCTACTCACCCCCATGCTGAACAACACTCTGGAGTACTTTTTTGATATCTCAAATGCATCTGGAGATCTGGGAGGCTTCTTGCTGTCTGCTGACATTCAAATAATGGAGGTCTATGGCGCCCGAGGCAGAAAGGTCCATAAAAGTCCACAAAAAACGTGTCAATATTCCTCCATACTGCTCGTCCAATGTATTCCAAGTGTCCTGAGTGGGTAGTGTCCATAATTTACTCGAAACGAAGTCATTTAGAATGTTTTTAGAGCATAAACAGTAGTGTATAGGATTTCCTGAAAGCGCGTTCATGAGTCTACGGAAACCGCGGCAGACCAAACCAGATGAAAGTGCGCATTCAGCGTCTGCTCTGCCGATAATGCAAGCGTAGAAGAAGAAATGTGCTGTTTACCTGTGCAAAGAAAGAAACAACGAAAGAAAAATGTCTGAGGACTTCAGTGTTGAGGAAGAGCATGAGTTCTTTGCCGAGCTGAATGCGCACTTTCATCTGGTTTGGTCTGCCGCGGTTTCCGTAGACTCGTGAACGCGCTTTCAGGAAATCCTATACACTACTGTTTATGCTCTAAAAACATTCTAAATGACTTCGTTTCGAGTAAATTCTGGACGCTACCCACTCAGGACACTTGGAATACATTGGACGAGCAGTATGGAGGAATATTGACACGTTTTTTGTGGACTTTTATGGACCTTTCTGCCTCGGGCACCATAGACCTCCATTATTTGAATGTCAGCAGACAGCAAGAAGCCTCCCAGATCTCCAGATGCATTTGAGATATCAAAAAAGTACTCCAGAGTGTTGTTCAGCATGGGGGTGAGTAGAAAATGAAGGCTAATCATGTTTTGGGTGTACTATTCCTTTAATTCAAACCAGAATGTTATATTCATGCTTTAAAGACGTAAATCAATTAAAATGATACAAATGTGCTATTAAATGTGTGTTCTCTGCTCTAAACTTAGCCTCTGGTAAAAAGGATCAACCTCTTTATGAGCATGCTGCATCATGCTTTCAGGAATGTGGAGATATAATCTAGAAATGAAACCATCTGAGGTCAACTAAATAAAATGTTCTCTGAGCTGAATAAATATATGAAGCATGATGAGCATTCTATATTAATGTTATACCTCCTGTTTGTTGGTCTACATGAGGGATTTACATACATTCAAATCTAAACACTAGAGGGCCCTGAAGAACTAAAGTGCATCTCCAACCACAGGAAAAGAATCCTAACCAGCTGGTGACCACATGACCATGGTCAGATTCATATCTCTCCTGCACAATGTTCTGCTGCTGGAAACAAAGACCTTTTATTCTCAGGTCAGAAAGTTGGAAATCCATCTGGTAATAATTAGTTTATATGGAAAATAACTGTGCAGAGGTGGGGGTAGAATTGCCACAAATTTCACTTAATTTACTTAAACATGTTTTCCTCAAGTAAAATTAAAATAGTTAATCCAAGAAATTATTCAAAGTAAAAAGAAAAGAAAAACTAGTAAAAGTTGCTGCGGCTTCAGACAATCTGATTTTAGTTTAAAACTATGTTATGTGTGAATTCTGGTATTTAAAAAATGTTAAATAAAATACAAATAAATAACATGATTACAAAATGACTACTTTAACCAGTAGGAACACTTTTTTATATATTTTTTTGTTTAAAATAAATGTATAAAACCAGACTTTACTGCAGGTAATGCATATAGTACATACTAAGAAAGGCTAAAGATTAACAACATTTATTTTCACGGTATTTTCATCTGATCTCTGGATATCTCTATGTAAGTGGAGGGACCAGAAATGAAAAGTATTTTGAAGCTAAAACAACATAAAACCAAAACCACTAAAAATACTTATTACCGGTACAAAACAACAACAACAAAACAAACAAATAAAATGATAAAATTTCACTGACATTTTTTTTATTATGACACATTAAAGCTTTAGCTACAGTGTCATACAGCTAAAACACCAGCAAGTTGTCATAAACAGTGTAGTATAGTGGTCAAACTGTTCAAACCAGGCCTATGGGGTAAAACAGCTATCAAATAAAAACGTATGTGTAGGTGTCTGGATTTGTAAATTTGATTCAATGAAGGTAAATAAATTCC